TTTTCTTTTCTACCCATGCTTCACCCTCATCTGCAAGAAGAGCCTATCATGCTGAAACCAGGTAAAACCAGGCATAAACACTAAACAGCTCTTTTTCCCTGGTTATGGGCCTCTGTGCAATGAAGCGAGCCAGAATGCAAGTCCATGCCACTGCTGTACCTCTAGCTTAAAATCCTATCCATGGAGATACAATCAGTGGAAAGTTATAAAGAGAGAAGGAATGATTCCATTTCACTAGCCAGATCGACTCAGACACATATTGCAGATGTTTGGTGTTTTATCAACATAGTGTTATTATAAGAAAGAAAAAAAACTTTAAAACTCTTCTGAGATGCCAATGAACACAGGATGGAAATGTAAACTTTTGATCCCAAGAGTATGAAAGCCTGTTTCAAGGATAAAATAAAATAATAAAATAGTCACATCTGTGAGATTTAAAACATAATTGGGTTACACTTTATTTTGATAGTCCACTTTAGACATTCTATTAACTATAAGTAACTTTGTAACTACATGTCAACTACATGTCAACTACATGTCAACTACATGTCAACTACATGTCAACTACATGTCAACTACATGTCAACTACATGTCAACTACATGTCAACTAATTCTCAGAGTAGACTGTTAGGGTAGGTTTAGGGTTAGTAGAATAAGTTGACAAAGAAAGTGTTAGAAGATATTAAGCAGACAGTCTACTAATACTCTACTAACTGCTAATTGACATGTAGTTGCAAAGTTACTTACTGTTAATAGAATGTCTAAAGTGGACTATCGAAATAAAGTGCTACCAAATATGCTTTTGGGTATTTATATTTCACCATCTAAACTCTCATTCCATCAAAAAGGCAGGTAGACAATTTTATCTCTTAATGAGATGAAAAGAGTTGCTCTTTTGTACTCTAGAGCAGGGGTTCCCAAACTTTTCAATTCCACGACCCACCTAGACAAGTGTAATCTATTTCACGACCCACCAAAATATTTGAGATTAAAAAAAACAACTGACATTACTTTAAGCCTAATCTTAATTAAAAGTTTAATATGACAGAAATTAAGTATTTAAGAAAAATAACCATTTTATTTTAGAGTACAACTGTAAAATTGCACTACTAATATTTACGTTTTAATTTCTTTGTTTACAGATGTTAAAATATGAAACGTCCATAAAAACGTGAAACAGGCTCACTCCAGTGAGCTGTAATCTGCGCTGCGAGTGTTGTTAAACTCATCGCGGGGTTCAGCGCAGAAAATGCATTCATGGTCTTTCAGTGTGTAGGGGAGAGCGGAGCACAACCCGACACTTTTTTAGCAACGCATAAGAAGCAAAGCAGAACTATCTAAAACAGTTTTGAGATTAAAATAATTGTGAAAAAGTTAAAAATAATAAACAGATGTGTCTCATTTTAAATAAACACTAAAAACCGAGATGACAAATTTACT